GTCACATTGGTAAATGCAGAGACATGACGATTTATGAACGGCCATTTCATGGTATTTAAAAGTCCCACAATTAGAAACTTTTTTTAAACCGAATTATGTCCTTCATTGGAGTATAAAATTGGAAGAAGGCGTAATTTTCTACCGAACGAGAGGAAGAATGAATATTTTTATGCATTTTTTCCATGAAATATAATTGGACTTTTAGGGGCATCGAAAATCATTGAGAAAAGGTCGTATTACTTAAGTAGTCGTTTTTTACAAAGTGTAATCGTTGCATGCAGCCGAAAGGAAGTTCATTCGAAAGCCGGCATCCTGCCCTAACTGAATTACTATATAATTATGTTACAGGCTGACTGGTTTTACGACCCTACTTAATTAGTCTTTTTGAAGCGAAAACGCATTTCAGAATTTCGGTTGACATTTCATGAGTTAGCCCATCAATTGTCATCTTTAGCAACTGAGGAGCGCCGCAGTAAGTTTTCTTCGTGGACCACTCATATTTGCCTGCGACGCACTGAACAGAGCGGTTACTTGTCAAAACTTTAATTACACTTTTGTTATCTGAGGAAAGAAGATCGCCTATGCTTAACCCATTCGACCCTCGTCTCAGAGAAGCTACAAGGACCGAAAGAAAGGAATTTTCTCTTGTAACTTCAAAGCCCGCAAAGGCATAAATCACGCTACCTGGACGGGGATGCTAGCTCGCCATGGGGTCGGCAGCTGTAACAACAAGGGCTTCTTCTTCTGCAGGTTTTCATGGAACACAGTTTTCTCCTGACAAACCTTCCGTACGGGAAAAGGCGACGTGGGTGCACCCTCGCTCACGTCACGGGAAGCCGCTACGCTATGTCCTCACTCGATGGCGTGACCAAAGTGACGTGCTAGTGACTACGGCAATGTGCGGTGCCGACTACTGTACGGTCCACCGACTGGTCTCCAGGATAAGACTATAAAACTTCAGGCGACCGCAAAGTAAGTAAATACTAGGCATATTAAATGCTGTATTACTGGATACTGTCGAACACCAATTGAACACTAGCAATTGCTCGAATCTCCGTCTAAAACAAGTGCAAGTTACGAAGGCAAAAAGAAATGCTGAGACGCAATTGCGGAAACTCTGGAACGTCATCCACTCCACTGCCCTGAAGTCCCTCGGTCGGGCATGTCGTCAGCAACTGGAAAACTTGGATGACAAAGAAGGATAAATCCGCAGTTTGCCCTGCGAGTAGCGACTGTCCGACCGTGGCAAACGACAACCTCCACCTCTGTCCCAAGAGGTGGGTCCCACTTTGTTTACCTGCGCGTGAATTAGTTTACTGCGAGGCAACTTTCGCAGCATCTACCGCACTTCCCCCTCACTCACCTAGATTACCTCGATGTCAAGACGAGCGGACGCAGTGACAGACAAAACTGACACGGGTCACAGGTGACCTAGTTCCCACTGAATGTACCAGGCCAGGACTCGGGCTGTAACATCTAAGGGAATATGTGTACTCAGAGCACTACAATCATCAGGCTGAATCGCCTGTTGCAGGAAAAGAGAAGTCACCAGACTGAGGGGTTTATTGTATACAGAACTCCAGAGTTGTCCCCTCAGGTGGCAGTGGAGGCTGGCGAGGCCACGACTGGTATGACTGCGACCAGTCACGCCTGAGAGTCAGTGAAGCAGCAGTGGCAGCGGTGACAGCCGCTCTTGTAGATTTGTGGGACAGTTTGAAGTGGTGTCCAATTAATGTGCTGCATTTGCCGGGGCGTGGTGTTCAAGTGGGTTGAGCTCCGTTCGCAGGGGGATGGTGAGTTCAAGTGGCGCATGGGCAGCTGCGCCCTCTGTACACGTCCAAGGTATCCTGTCGGTCATCAGCCTTCGGGGCGGTGGGTCATAGAGCGTCGCGATGGGTTCAAGCACACCAAATTTATTATTAGTGAGGAATACGCTGAATTGCCAGTCACTCGTTCGGTCGCCGTTTTTGGCGCTCTAACCAAGGGTACGACTGACCGAGGAGCCCAGTTCAAATCTGCCCTTTCCCAAGCCCTCCTCAACTTGCTTGGCTTCACATTCCTTCGGACGAGGACCTGCCATCTAGCAGCCAACAGCACGACCGAGCGTTTCCGCCGCCAGCTGAAGACCGCCTTGCGGGCCACAGAGGACCCAGCCAATTGGTCTGACAACCTGCTCCTTGTGCTCCTTGGTCCTCGCTCGGCACTGAAATCGGATCTGGATTGCAATGATTTTTTTACTTTACCCTCTGACCGCCAGGCGAGATGGTCACTCCAACCTCTCGTGGTGCTGATGAGATTCCCAACAATTTTGTGCATCGTTTGCATTCACCTTCCGGGGTTCCGCCTCGAACTCAATCGACTGAGTCTTATGTTAAAGAAGGCTTGGTCAACTGCACTCATGTGTTTGCTCGGTATGACCGTGTGTGTAAGTCACTGGAACCACCTTAAGAAGGACCGTTTCGCGTACTCTAGCGCAATGTCAAGACCTGCCGGCTCCCTCCTGGTGGAAAAGAGGACGTGATCAGCATCGACCTGGTCAAGGCTGCTGCCACAGAGGTGCCGCCGGACCTGCCCCAAGGGCATAACTGCGCTGAACCCCTGCCCCGTGCTGCACCAACTCCCCTGCCGCGTGCTCCTCCACCTTCCATAATCTCTGCTCCAATTTCCCAACCTTCCTCCTTCCCCATCACCCCACAGCCCCCCACTCTAACTCTTCCAACGCCACTGGCATTCGCACCACTCGTAGCGGCTGCCGAGTCCACTTTCCCGACCGTCTTAGCATTGGAGCGTTTTAACATTTTACTTACCTTCAGCGTCGTTTTTACACTGGCCTCCAGTCTAGGCTGGGGGTACTGTGGCAGTCCTTTTCCGCATTTTTATTCATACACCTTTTTTATGGTTATTCCATTTGTTAAGCATTTCGTTAACTCGCATTCGTCCTTATTTGTTCCAGTTGGTGTCTATGACACGGTGACGCGAAACACTCCAACTGGTGTGAGCTCCGGTTTCATTAACTGACTTTTAACCTATTGCCTTTGTTCTTCACTGGGCGGGGTTGGCAGTCGAGTCCGTTCTGGCGTGGCAGTTTCACTTAACTTTTCTCGACTTGGTCTTAATGTGGAATCGCATTGTCGATTGTCTAAGCCCGCTAAAAAACTTTCTTGCGTTCATCAAAGGGATCTGCGGCCTAAACCCAAGGGAACTGCACAGCTGTTCAATTCCGAAAAAGCAATATCTTGAACGAAAAATCACACATTCTGGAACACAAGGCTGTGCTCGGCCAGATCCTATTTCGTAGGGGTTAGGGGTTAAGGTTGGGGGTCAGGGGTGAGGGGTTAGGGTTAGGTGTTCGATTGGGGCTACGAAATAAGATTCACCCTGCGCTCTTCAGAAGCGGCTCCAATCGTCTACCTACAATATTCGACAAAGTCGTCGATAAACTCCCTCAACTGGGAACCAACACGGTCATCGTTCGTCCGTCATCATCAGACTGCACGCCAGTGACAAAACACCGGACACTGATTCACTTCCGGGTAGAATCTTCGAATATGTGGTGGCTCTCACTTTGAAGAACTATCAAGATCGGCCAGTAGATAATCGGCCGGATCTTCAAAGTCAACTAGACCTTCGACCGACTACAGCCCTCAGTTTGAACTCGACGCCACATTCAACTGAACACGAAAATGAGGATGTACAGTGTCGTTCTCCTGATAACGCTCTTGAACGGGGTGGAAACATGGTCAGCTTACCAGAGTCAAGCAACGAAACAGTCATTTGCGCCTGAGCTGCCTCCACAGAGTACCGAAGTAGAGATCATACGAAAGGATCCCTGACACGGAAATCATGGAGGGAGCCGGTATTCTCGGCATGCGCCAGTCCTCGCAAAATAGGTGGAAAACAGCTTCGTTGCAAGGACGTTCTGGAGACCTCCTGTAGCCATCTGAAGGTCAGGCCTTTGACCTGGGAGCATCTCGTTCAAGATCAACACGCGAAACGCAGCACTGTACAAACTGGAGCCATAATCTACGAAACTTATCGCGTAAAAGAGGTCAAAGAGAAGATAAGGGCGCGCAAATCTTATATATCTCGGGTCGACGCCAAATACGCCCAACACAGAACAACACATCTGCATTACCAACTGATGTTCTTAGCCCATATAGGATTCATCGGACATCTCCAAATATGACGTCGTGACAACACACCTAGTGGTTAGAGGCGTGGACTTCTAAATAACAGGTCGCGAGTTCGAGCCCCCGGCGTTCCACACTTCGGGGTTGGGTATGACTGGCTGACGAAGGCTAATAAGCCAGAAATGGCCATTCCAGTCTCCCTTGTCTTTGTCGGTAGTACCATTCTGCCTGTATCATGCGCCGCTGTGCGGCTGCTGGTTGAGATCGAGAGAGAGCCTATAAGGCACAACGGAACGAGTGAGTTCCGTAGGAACGATCGGTGAGCGCCCCCCTACCACCTAAATCATCACCACGGCACAGGACGTCACTGTCAGCAGCAAAGTCACAGATGCAAACCGATCTGCTCAGTCTTATCTCATCCACAGCAGCACCAACAGCAATGTGAATTCCGATTCCCATTGCGGACTTGCCTTTACATTACACATCGACATAGCCAGTCACTTACGAGTTCAGCTTAGTGTGCCCGGTGAACCGGTGCCACCTCCCTTTCGCCTCACTTGCCGAACTGTTACAGGAGATTCTGACATGGTATGGTCCGGTTCGGCCATATACGTATTCACAAAAATCTTCAGTAAACAACAGAGTGAAGACCTCATTACCACACCTCGCTTTCTTACTTGCCCACACACCATAGTTCAACCGTCGCATCCGACAATGACTCCGTATGCTCCACAGCAGGGTGGGAGTAGGGACGGAGACTTGCGCAGGATTTATACCATCTACCACACTCTCTCCCCCTCCCCCACCTGGATCCGGTGTCAAGACATAATCAAGAGAACCGGGGCGGGAGAGGGCACAGGTGGATGGCACGGCCGAGCCCGCATCCTGGCGCCCCACTCCACATCCCCTGGTACACACAGCAAATGACCAGGATTTTAACTAACAACAAAAGGAGTGGATGGCATGGTCGAAGTCGCACCTAGGCGTGCTGTCACGCCTGGCTCGGACCCCACGGAGTGGGAGTGCCATAGAGACCACAGTAAGAAGGAGCCATTGCAGCAGCCTGACTCTTAGACCACCAGCCGGACACTCCAAACAAACACACAACACTGGGCCGACTGCGAGATCCACCAGAGATGTCACCAGTCGACCATTTACCTTTTGCAAGGAAGACGTCATCAAACTACCTCACAGAGACTGGCACTGACCTCGACTACCCGACCTCCCTGCAGAAAAGTCACAGCAAATATTTAGTGGAAAATATTCTGGCACCTACTCGACAAACAAGGTAACCCTCAACTGATGGAGTAGCTTATTCCACTATTCCAGAAAATGGGGCGACAGAGACAAATGCACAAGATTGCAAACACATAACACACATCGGGTGTGCCACCAATCGACCATTTACTATCTGCAAGGAAGACGTCAACAGGTCTCCTGACGGGGAGACCAATGCTGACCTCGATTATCTATCTCCCCCCCCCTCCCCCCTGCAGAAAGCTGTCATGGTAATGCAATAGACGCCCAATGGAAAATCTCGGGGTGCAGACTCAACTCCACTCTAACCAAAAACACGGCGACCCTCATATAGTATAAAAGTCAATTTTACTATTCCAAGGGAAGTGGCCAGAAGGACAAATCCGCAAAACTGCAAACACATAACCGTAATTCATCCAAACAATCGCTGAGGAAACCAGTGTGTCTGTGACAATCCTCGAAGGATCTCCCGACTCAATATTGCTGACAAATTCTCCACCCGATTACTACTCAGTCGTCTAAATCTACACTTGGATCATTGCAGATTCTCAGAAAATCAGACACCATTGATATGCACCTGACGGTTCGACAACTGAAGGCAGGTGTCAAGAAACTGGGGTGGACCTTTACATCACCTTTGTGTGTCCCATGGAAACCTCCGACACCGGGAACAGAAACGATCTGTGGAAAATAATGAGAAAATTTGGATGCCACAAGCGGTTCACAATGACAGTTGGGCAACGTCATGACGACATGGTAGGACACAGGGCGGAAGCGTTTCGGAGTGACATACGAGATGTAGCAGGACTGTCTGCTTAGCCTAATCCTCCTCAGCCTAAGCTCTCACTAAGACTGATAGACGTAAACCGAGGGGATCGACCAGACATCGGCATTTTATAACGAGGAAAAGGAAACTACGAACACTTGCCGTGTGTAGGCCATCCTAACGGCCTCCAAAGACAGGTCACATTACTCCCGCTTTGCCGTTGACTACGCATTCAACAGCGCAATTGAGGAGGCTGGTTAGCCAATTCTGAAACCCTTCTCTGCCGACTGCGCCAATTTCGAACTAATGATTAACACGCAAAGGCGAATATCGTATACAAACCGGCGCCAACTTTGTATTACCCCTAGCACGCAGTAAATATCAATGGTAACTGCCTGCTGGTGGTGAACCTGGACAACTGCATCTCATGGACCAAACAAATGGGAGAAGTTAGTTCAGTCATTTGGCGTTTAACAGGTTATAGCACTCGGTGTGGAATCGCCCTGGCAGTCTCCTCAGTATGAAACTCAGGATGTGCAGGACTGTCATCGTGACAACACTGTTTTTTGGTGTGGAGACCTGGATAATCTACCTAAGTCAAGTGAGAAAGCTCAGCCACTTCAACCTAAGCCGTCTTTGAGGAGTATGTAAGTGGGATGGTAGGAATGGATTACGGACAGTCAGGTATAAACTATAAAGAAGACGTGATTCTCTATTGATTGACTAAAAGAAAGCCTATTTTTGTTTATGGTTTCTATAAAATATATTTGAATTTCCAAGACCGTCGAAAATCAATGGGAAAAGTGCATGCTACTTAAGTAGTCATTTTTTACCGAGTAAGCTTTTTACAGGAGATTGAAAAGAAGTGTATTTAAAAGCCGACATCCTGTCGAGTCCAAAATGTTATAAGAGTATGCCTTAAGATAATCAGTATCACAACCGCGACCAAGTAATCCTTCCTAATCGAAAGCGCATTTCAGAATTTCAGCCAACATTTCATGAGATAGGTCACGCACTGTACGTAGCCAACACAGCCTGACTACAGAGTCAGTTCGTAGAGCCGCCGCCAACATCCGTCACTCACGCCCTTCTACCACATGCTGTAACCACACGTCCAATCACCCCATTAACCTTTCCGATCATGAGCGCATAAACAATGGCAGCAATCAGTAGAAAGTCGTCCATCTGTCAAGCCCACATCGTCTCCATACATTTATTAACTGCACGAACCTTTCTGGCTATCCACGCACACACTAAGGCCAGTCATTCTTCAAGTAGCAACGCTTCAATTATGCTTGGCAGCGTCGGTAGCTGCGGACGACCTACTATGCCTGCTTGTGTGTACGAATACGTGGGAAGCAATAGACCGAGTCTCTACACAGGGCCAAGTCACTGCGCCCAATCTGACCGCCAATTGGTCGATGGGTTCGAGCACTCCACTGGTACACAGAAGGGAAACAATAATGAGACTGGCAGTGAAATACACATCTTCTTGGCAATTTAAATCGTTTCTCGTCAGCATAAAGCTACCATGTCTGTGTTAAAAGTAGTGGCTTGAAAGTCTGCCAGATGACAGGGTAATTCGATACTACTAAGGGTTGTTGGTCAGTATGCCCACGCTCGCCTCCAGTCGTCTTGACTTTCTAGGGTAACGCTCGCACTGGTCGGAGCATCGTGTGTGAGGTTCACCAGTCTGACCTGGTTGTGGTATGAAATACGGTCTGAAGACGGCAAGTAGTGAGAAGGGGCCTTCCATGCAGTCCTGATCTACTCAATAATACATTTGGATTATCGAGTGCTCGTTGCTGTGCTACAACCTGCGACACAGGGTCTCCGTATTTTATCCAGCAATCGGACCAGACAGCGAACCCTATTCCAACGTGACTGTGAGTTTAATATTGTAGTCCCAATTTTACTTAGGGCCGGGCAGCCAATAAGAATTCATATTTTCGTGAATTTCCAAAAACACCCTCTTTGATTCACACCTCTTTTCCTAGAAAACGCGGGTACTGCTTAAACTGCTACTGCCTTTTGGCCAAGCTCAGAGGTCGAACAGTGGTGCTTCGCACGAGTATGATCCGGCTTGTGATCAGGTCACATTTTTGTGCTTCGGTGGTGTCGGCTGCTTTCTGTCAGATGCGGTCCAACCTCACCTCACCCAGGACAAGGCAGTGCACGTGACTTTCGCACCCTCATGATAAAACGCGTCACACTGATGCTCCCCGATTTGGCCTAACTTTAGACCGGAACACGGACGCTCCGTTTTGTCTAAGAGGTCCTGACCAGAGCCCATTCAGGCGGCCTGCAGCGACAAGTGACAGATTATTAACAACCACTGTTGACGAAGACAAGGGAGACTGGGATGGCTATTTCGGCCTTATTTGCCTGAGCCCAGTGACATAAAAGAATGCTCCTAGACCACGGTGAAATAGAACCAGGTCTATGAACGCAACTGACAGGACGCGGTCTCATGGCTCAGTTGGTACAGTGAACTCGAATTCAGATCAAGAGTATTGTGCGGCCTTCAAGTATTGGTGCGACGCACCTACAACGGCAGTTTAACGAAAATCGGTTCTCCCAGTCTTGCAAGTTTCGGTGATAATGCTTCTCGGAAATAATCTTAGAGGCTGTATGCTCACGCTCTTGTGTACTCCCACACAGATTCGGTCAGACGAAGCCTTCGACCAAGGCACCTTGTGCCTTTCAGCGTGCATTCTGCCCAGCATATTTGAGCGAACTCATTCCCCCCCGCGAAAATGCTAAAAAATTTCACGCGAAGTTCTGCGAATCTGATTCTTTGTAATAACGGATCGGCCACATTCATGAGAGTAGTATATCGGCATACATGCTATGAATAAGACGACATATATGTATATTTGTATATATTTTTTTATATTTGTATATACTTGTATACACGTATATTTGGACTTTTTTCAAACAAACCTATAACCCTTACCTACACCTTTTTCGGCATTATAATGCTGTTTATCTGACGACTAGTGGCACTCATAGCAGATTCAAATTTACACCGGTATGGAAAGCCTCAGAATGCAAAGCCTACCCAACGCATAGAGGGAATAAATGAAAAAAAAACAACACGCCAGAGAAGTTTGAAATACGCACGAAAATTGGCACTACAAGTACATTATTGAAAGTGGACTTATTGCAAATGGTGACTGAAAATGTATAGACACCATCTTTATCTGCTCACTAATCCGCTAGCCGGTACTGCTAGTCAGCATGCCGAATTCTCACAAAGTGTGAACGTGACCTGCAGGTGCATAAAAATCGTTACAAAAACCAGTTCTTGTCTTATGACCACAAAAAATCAAGTGCTCTCCACGCTCTAAGTGCTCACGCTTCGCATGCCGCTTTTTGACTGTGAGCATCCCAAAAAACCTACGTCTTTTAATTAAAGCAGGACTGCAAATGCCAGTTTTCACATGAAGGTTCGTCATTCGAGTGGACAAGGCATGAGCTCATACCGTGGGCAGCAGATCACCGCGAATGAGCTCGACTCGGGCTCAAATACATGTGACAGATATGCAGATAATGGTCAACGCAGTCACGCTGTATATTCCAGCATATTTTATTTGATTAGTTCTTTACATCCAACCTGGCCGGGTATCAAGCTCACTGCGGGAAGTATGGCCTTCAAACAGGGATTCAATCAATAGGCATATCGATCTACCACCAGACTATCATGTTCTTAGGGAAAAACTCAATAGCATGGCTGAAAGCCAGTATTGCCGAAGGTGTTTGAATTTTAACTGAACATCACGTTTTTATTCGCTCTTAATGATATGCTCGAGTGACAGTTCGAAGCATCGGAGACGCGACGTGCTGAGAGTCCTGGCTTAAAAAGCTGCCAACTGACCGGCTGATCCGACTGTTGTGGGGGTATTTTGGAGTCACTGGGGCACTGAAAATCAGCCTTCTTAGTGTGACCCTTATAGTGCTTGTAGCGGGCAGCCATCATAACCGGTCTGGTGTCATTGTTCAAGACCTCGCTGCCTCAAGGTCACTTAGCCCTTCCAGCGAGCCGTTCCAGACGCGCTGATCTGAAGCCAGTCGACCAACTTCGGCCCGAACACAATTGCGTCCTCACAGTGTCGCAGCTGCCCATGCGCCACTTGAAGGCGTCACCCCCTGCAACCAGCAAAGCAAGCCACTGGGACACCACCCCTCGGCAAATGCAACACACGCTGACTGGACACCACTTGAGCTTGGCCCACGAGCCTACAAAAGCAGCTGCCACCACTATCTCTCAGGGACCCTCAGGCATGGCTGGACGCAGTCAACACCAGCCCTGGCTTGGCCAGTGGCCACTGCCGCCTGAGAGAACAACTCGGGGTTCTGTGCACAATAAAGCCCTCATTCTGGTGCCTTCTGTCTTCTCCTTACGATATGGGATTTGCCCTGATAATGGTAGCGCTCAGACTGCACACACTCACACCGCCTGCCGCAACATACTCTCACGCACGTGAGCTCCGAGCCGCCCTTGAAGAGGCCTGCTGCACATTATTAGATTTAGGCCGTGCGCCGCACGCGGGGCTCTAGGCGGAAGCGGAAAAAAACGCCAGACCCTGCACGTTCCGTACTGTAACTCGCTAGGTCAATGGTCCTTTCAAGCACACTTTCAATTAATTTGACATCAGCCGGTTGTGGCTGCTTCGGTTTCGCTGCCTTTCCCCCTGCAACAAAGTTAATTTAGCCTAGTCTGCAGACTAACTCGAACAGCTGAAACGGGCACCTTCTAACTTCCAAACTAACTGCACACCACAAGGTTCCTAGCTATTTGTGGTACGTTTTCTAAAGGTTTGCCAATCGTCTGTGGCAGCTGTTGAGAAAGCGTCCACAAGACTTGATAAGGAAGGAAGTTATTGGAAGTTATTGGACATTCATCGGAATGCCACAGAGTTGGCTTACTTGGCGGTGGAAGGAATAAAGGGGTGTGCAAATAAAAGAATCGGGATGAGCTAACGAAGGAAGTGGTCTGATCCCACTAATCCCAGCGTTTGGAGGACAGGAATCGAGGAAAGACGAATCCTGCCCCCGCCCGGCAGCGAGTTGCCAGGTGCGCCCACCGGTGGCAGACAGTGGATCCGTCTGCAGCAAAGGTTAGCCGCGAAACAAGTATGCCATCTGGTCTGACGAATGAGTAGTCGCGGGTAATGCCGAGGTAATAAATACAGCCGAGACTGAGATGCATTCCAACAAATATGCCAACAATGTGAAAAGCATAAGCCATAGAAGTATTACGGACCTCGCCACTGCTGCACGTTGTCAAATAGGGGTTCACCGACGTCCGGCACAATCTTGGCAGTATAAATCAGTATGTCGAAGGAATTGACAGTGATGTGATCTTTAGAATCGGGGAAGCATATGAAATTGGCCTACTGGATACCGTGCTGCGCGACTGCCATTCTGCGGACTATGGCTTAGCCAGCACTTCGAACTTCCAGAGGACGATGGTCCACATGCTCTGGTTGGCTTTGCAAAAGGTCGGTAGAGCGCAAAGTTCCCGCCCAACAACAACATTAGCGCTGATAACTGTTATCACCGACCCGAGCTCATCATGACCTGTTCTAAAAAAAGAATGACTGCAGAAAATGGTGTTCACTCATTTTCTTGGCTTTAGATACCAATCCTATTGAGTTCATCTGTCTGTTCGATCTCTGTTTATATGCAAAACCTCGACTGTCATACTTGTTCTGCACCACGGAGCCAAGACAGAGGACGTGGCAAAACGGATTTGTCTGCTGCGGACGCAACAACGCAGCCGTTTTTAGTGTGGCAAGGATTTTAGAGGAATCGCAAAATGTCAAGAGAAAGTCGGAAAATCAACATTCGCCGCCGCCGCCACCACCACCATCATCACGACATCCCGACCATAGCGAGCGATAATGTTCACCGTGTTTCCCACAGTGTAGGGGGGCACCAGGACAGGGAGACGTGCGAATTACTTTAGAGTGATGGCAGACTTGCGCAGCATCAACCACACTCTCTCGTCCCTTACTTATCTGAGTCCAGTGTCAAGATAAAGGCAGGAAGGCCGGGAGTGGGATCGCGTGCCAGACATCCCTGACCCACGTACATGGACCAGACTTTCACAGAAATAAGAGGTAGTCAACTGGGGTCCCAACCGAGTGGGAGTGCAATACAGATCACATTAAGAAGGAACCTTTGCAACCGGACTCTCTGTCCTGAGAGGACGACCGAGTTATCCCATCAGTTGGCAGGCTCCTAAATCACAGCCTTTACCGCAGCGTGATAGATTCAGGACGTGTCAGATTGTTCCTAGTAAAGTGTTGCGGGAACGTAGTCCCATTGTCGAGCTCGCCCAGACACCAACCCACTGTCCAAGCCGGTCAGCCACATGGTGTAGGAGCTGTGCGAAAGCGGCTGGCGAGGCGTGAGCCTGCAGCTAGGCGTGCTGCCATGGCCTCCATGTGTGGCGTTTGCTATGGGTGCGCAGCCCGGCTAAAACCCCGTGTCGGCTCAACTCACCTGACGCATGACTACTTTTAAAGGCTCAACCCCCACCGCCGCCACCGTCACCGGTCAACCTGAGGGTCAGGTAGTGGAGGAGACCAGTCCAGGCCATGCGGGAGATTACCAGGCGCTCAAGGTTACCAAGCATGCAGTCAGAATCATCATAAAGAGGAATACTGGAGCAGATCATTAACCAAAGACGAAGAGTTCCAATTAACCTGAGGTTGTGGTTTGGAACAAGGTAAAAGTATACTGACGAGGTTGGGGCGAACAACACCACGCGTCCGCCTTACAAACCAAAAGTACCTTGTCATCGTTTAGGATTGTAAGAACAGGATAAGCAGACGCACCCTCTATCTCCGGGAAGGAGATGGCCCTGCTACTGTCAGACGTACCAACAAAAAGGAACACCCATCTCAACCGCTTATTTTCGACCTCGTAACCGCACGTAACCACAAGACGTTGCCCCTTCTGCTGGAAAAATAGTTCACGATGAAAGTCATGGAGGACTCGAATATGAGCTGAGTCTAGCGGAGTTTACGGCGCCTGTCGGAGGTGATCCTCATGCAGAATGGTGCCCCTGCCATACGATCAAGGTCAGGGTGGTACAAACGCAGATTTCAGGTCACACAGGAGATACGGTCATCGATTTTCGCGCATCTCAATCTCCTTGTAAGTCCTCACAACCAAATCCCGAGGTCGTAAGCCTTGCGTGGAACGACGTGCAAATGGCCTCTAGCAAGGCCACGGGCCCCGAGTTTCGCTTGCAGTCGAGGTCGTAATCGAGGCGAACGGTGGTTTTTGTGGTTGCTGACCTCTAAAGTAATTCATATTCACCACTTTTCCTGCACATTAGATTTTGTGTTAATTACCTTTGAAGAGCATATAGCTGAAAGCTGAAGTTGTCGGCCGCACATAATGATGTTTGGGGAATACGGACACAGAGGTGGTCCATCTTAATAATTACCGAATGACCAAATAAGAAGAGATCTAGGCTTAATTTAAGGCTTTCAGATGATGCAGGAGGTAACCGATAAGCTTACTAGGAACATAGCAACAGATGTTATTACGGACCTTGTACTATATGGAGAGCCAGTTACATAGGCAAAATGGCATTACCGACAAAGACAAGAGAGACTGGAATGGCCATTTCGGCTTATTAGCCGTCGTCAGCCAGTCGTACCCAACCCCGAAGTGTGGAACACCCGAGGCTCGAACTCACGACCTGTTAGTTAGAAGTCCACGCCTCTAACCACTGAGCCACGAGCCCGTTGCCCTGTCGGTTTTTCGATCGGGAATATACAATGATAGGGGGGCGCTCACCGATGGTTATTACGGAACTCACTCGTTTCCATGCGCCTTACGGGCTCTTTCTGGAGTCCAACCAGCAGCCGCACAGCCATTTACATGCTGATGTTCTAACGAACGATTATTCCGGCATTTATGTGGTCATAGTCTCTAGTGGCCAGTTTCCATTGTAGGGCCCGACCGTTTGAAAACAAGTAGAACTATCAGAAGACAAAGTGGCGAACAAACGTTGCTTTCGATAGTTTATCTTAAAGCTGGTACGGGGTACAGTGGTTGAAAAAATCGACAAAAGTTAGTTTTAAAATACTGGCAAGGCAATAGCGGAAGGGCGCAGAAAGTTTCATGTGGTTAGTCAGCCTTTCACGACGGTAAGCGCGGAGCCTGAATGAGGTTCTTCTAGGTTCTTCTAGGTTTTCGTAACCTTATTGCGGCCGCTTCTGCTGTTGCCAACAGACGCTGGCCCAGTAGCTTAGGGTAGCTCGAGGGGACCTTATAAATCGCACGAAACGCTTCATCGGGATCTACACGATGGCCTGAATCCACTGCATGCGCAAGGATGGCGCTGTCTATTCTCCTAGTTTCGCCTTTTACCAGCCATGCAGGGAGTTGTTCTCGTATTCTTTTGGAAAGGCGCCGACTCGTACGACCGATAAAACCTGTTCTATAGGAGCAAGTGAGTGAGTAGATGCACATCGAGGTGGTCTGAGGTGGCAACCTATCCTTGCCTTCTCCGCGTAAAATGGGGTTGGTAGAGAATGATATGCGAACCCTTGCTGCTGGGAAGGTTCTCGAGGCAGTTTGATCAAGGCGTCTTCTTAGGACTTCACTCACAGCGTCTCTTTGGAAAGGAACTTTGAGGAACAAAGTTTTCTTTTCGGCTGTCAGTATGGTGGGTCTTGCGGGTCTTTCGGCAATGTTCTTTGCAACGAACCGGTCAGGATACCCGTTTTGCCAAGCAAGTCCTGGATTTCTCTAAGTTCCTCCTCTATACTATCTGTTGAACATTTTTTTCTAGCTCTTTGTGCGAACACCTGACTAGATTTTGTTTTTGTTGGAGGGGTATAAAACTAGCGAAGTTCGTGTATTGTCCAGACCAGGTTAATAGCCGTGTATGCGACTTTAAGTACACATGTTATTACTAGTAACACATTAATCTGAGACGAAGAGCACGTCCACTCGATTTATTAGAGCATGTTAATTAAGCCGGGTGAGTGGTTGCAGAGAGATTTCACCCTTGGTTAAACCTTGATTGAATGTTATGCGTGCCCTGCCCCTGACAGGATTAGGTTTTCCCCCAACCTTCCTGCTCGACCCTCGAATGCATTCACGTTCTCGGGCTTTGCCTACACCCCTTCCCTTCCGCAGGGTCCGTGAAAATGGCCTCGCTGACTCCTTGACTGCGAGGGAACGGAGGGGTTTAAACGCCTCCCTAGGCTCTTACACCCATCCTTACTCGGGTCGCCTCCTCTGTACCTACCGCGCGACTGAGTAATCTAGACGAGAGGAAGCTCAGATAATCACATGTGCTTTCGGATTCCCACGTCGGCATCGGTTGTCTTCAATGGCATGTGCTGACAACAGTTTTTCACTGCATGAGGGTAAGCTTCAAAATTGCTTTAGTCACGTACTGGCGGAAGAAAGCATGACTCTTCTTAGGTCAGTTACAAGGGCGACTCAGTGATAC